ACAACTGAATTTCAGGAGTCCAGCTCAGTGCTTAGCTGTGAATCTCTGCTTCTGCTTTCCATCAGCTAGTAGATGAAGGCTCTTTGATGGCATTTAAGTTAATGATCAATCTCATTATAGGGGAAGGGCATTTAAGGTAGCCTCTCCACTATTGCTTAGATTCTTAGTTGGGGTTGACCTTGTAGATTCCTGGGAATTTCCCTAGTACCAGGTTTCTTGTTAAGCCCATGATGGCTCCCTCTGTCAAGGGATCTCTTTTCCTGCTCTCCTTCTCTGTCCTTTCCCCAACTCAACCTTCCTGATCCCCCTTCACCCTCCTCTCTCTCCTACACACCTCCCCCATGCTCCCAATTTACCCAGGAGATGCCCCTTTTCCCTCCTCAGGTGACCATGTGTGTCTCTCTTAGGGTCCTCCTTGTTTCCTAGCTTCTCTGGGGTTGTGGATTATAGGCTGGTTATCTTTTGCTCTGTGTCTAATATTCACTTATGAGTGAGTGCATACCATGTTTGCTTTCTGTTATAAACCCTTCTTTTGATGACTATAGTTACTTGCCACGCCCTGCCATGGTCAACACACCCTTACCCTAAAGATAAGGCCTGGCTCCCAAACAGGAAACAAAACAAGGGAAAGGGGAAGTCGGGGGGGGGGGGGTCATCTCACCAAGGAAAAGGAACAGGGGCACACTGGCTGTTCCTTTGGAACCAGAATTAAGAACTGGACACCTGGAAAGGAATGTGATGATCAAAGCCTTTGCCACTTGATTTTCCAGTGAAATTGGCTAGCTATCCGCTCCTTAGATCCAGTTTAGCCCTTACCGTACTGCAAAGAGACTTTGCTTTCCTGTTGGGTAGACTGGGAGATTGAAGCTCAAAGGTATTTGATAATCGCCAAGTTCTTACAGCTCAGCGCCTATGTTTGTTGGGAACTGGACCCATGTTCTTTCCTACTATTGCTTCCCAGCCCCAGGACTGTAACATGCACCCAAAGAGGAGCCTTTCAGGGCAAGAGCTGCTGTTGTGGCCTTCTCTTCTTTTCCTTCATTAGTTATTTCCTCCATTGTCATTCTCACTTAGGTCAGATTTTAAAGGGAAGGGAGAAAGTGACATGCCAAGATGCCAAGTGAGGAGACAACAGCAGGGCCAGACTGGATCCTTCATCAGCTACCCATCTTCATAGCCCATCTTCCAGGAGTCAGAAGCCAAACTAGTAGGGTCTTAACAGTCATTAGTTTCCCTCTAAGTCCACTGCCTTCTCAGTGTACTCCTTGCAGGCCTAGCTATAGTCCTAGTGTTGTTTGTTTTTGTTTTGTTTTTCAAGACAGGGTTTCTCTGTATTGCTTTGAAGCCTGTCCTGGAACTTGCCTTGTAGACCAGGCTGGCCTCAAACTCACAGAGATCCCCCTGCCTCTGCCTCACGAGTGCTGGGATTAAAGGCGTGCGATACCACTGCCCCTCTTAAACCCCACTCTACAAACTACCACTGGGGAGTGACCCCATGCCTTAGGGCCACCCCTTGCAGGGAAGCAGGTTTTCAGAGCTTCAGGTAAAACTTTCAGAGGCTTCTCATAAAGGGGGCTGTCTTAGCAGGGAAGACCTGGGAAGAGTCTGCCCCACACTAGAGCCCCTCTGAACGCCAGAGCTCTGTGACCCATCTAACTGAGTTCCTCTGTGGAGCACCTCTGTGGATGGTTCTGACAGGAGCCTGCAGAACTGAACTAATGAAGGCTTGGAGCTCTTGCATGGCTTGCAAGCCAACCTGGATCCCTAAGACACTCCCATCCCCAACTAAACCAAAGACTTCCTACATAACTTCTTTCAGAAATAGAGGGTGTCCTACTCTACTCACACCAGGGTGCAGTGAGCTGAACCCAGCAACGTGGGCCAGCTAGTGTTGTCAGATCTGTGAGAAGGCATTTGCCAAAGGCTGGCCCTTCCCAAGGGCAACTGTGTCCCCCAGCCTTCTCTATCCAGAGCCCTAGGGAAAGGAAGTCAGAAAGGCAAGAGGCCGCCCTGCGGTTCGGTTGTTCCTGCGGTTCTCCCAACCCCCACCCGGTGGGGGTCAAAGACAGCGCTGAGTTTCTGCCTCACTGCAGCCAGGCCCGCACCTGCTGCTTTGCCCTGGGAAGCCAAAGCTGCGCTGGGTAAGATCAAGGTGGGGCTCACGGCTATAGGAGGGGACGCAGGGAGCAGGAGAATGTAGTAGGGGGTAGGGGGGGGGGGTGGCTGGGGTCTGCAGATCCGGTCTAGCAGCATCTTAATAATAGAAACACATCTCCCTCTGGGCTGGATCCCCGCCTCTGGCCCGGGATACTTAGTATTATTGATCAGTTCATCTTCCTACTTGATTATGTTGGCAAGAACCTCTCAAGAGCTCCTCAACTTCTACCCTCTCCACCTCTCCCGGCCCAGGCAGCACCCTGCTAAGCTCTGCACTGAGTTCTGGTGGGTAATCTGCGCGCTGCCAAAGAATGGGGTGTTTTCTTTGTGGCAGGGGTCGGGGACACCGGGGGGTCTAACCCGGTGGCCAGCTCGGTGGCGGCGACGAGCGACACACCTCGCCAGCTCTGGCCCCCGCCGGCCCCTTTAATTCGAGTTCGCTGCGGGGCCAGGTGCGGCGCTGCGTGGTGCGGTGCGGCGCGGTGCGGCTGCGGGCGGCGGCAGGGCGCTCCGTACGCGCCGCCCGCGGGACTGCAGAGTCTGCTCCCGGCTGGCCGCCCGCACCCCGCTGCCACCACCGTCAACGCCCGCTACCCCGATTCTGCCGGCCCTGGCTGTCACCCAGGAACATGGAGGCTCGGGCACCCATCCGCAAGGGTAAATCAGTGTCCAGCGTTCGGCTGCGCGTGCTGCCATCCCTGCCTGGCTGCAGCGCCCAGAGGAGCTGTAGGGCACCCCGGTAGTCTAGGCGGGCGAGCTGGTTCCGACCCCTGCTGTCAACCTAGAGGGTTAAGGACCTGAGCCGGCCGCGGCGGGAGGCGGGGAGGGGTACTTGCCCCTTCAGAAGACTGCATGGAACGGGCACGGGGACCCTATGGTCTGTGCGTGACATAGGGTGGAGGGCGCAGATTGGAGGTGGCGGGTGATGGGAAGTGCAGCTGACTGCATAGCCATGTCTGGTAAATAGTGGGTGGGTAGGACGCTAGTCACTTGGGTCCTCCTGGTTGCATACGCCTCTTGGCAACGGAGTAAAATAGGTTTCTCTGCAGTCGCTGTTTTTCCACTTGGCCTGGGTAGTGGGCTGCCGCGGAACCCCCTTGCCTAAGAGGAAGCTAGATCTGGGGCAGCGCCTGGCGAAGCATGCTCTGAACCCTTAGAGTTCAGGCTCCTGTGTTTTCAAGTGGAGACGAGCCTCGATGGTCCCTCAGCTGGACCTCGCAGGCACTAGCTAGGCTATCCTCCGGCCCACAGCGGGAGCCCACCTCACTGCGCAGGAAGGGGTTAAAGTGGCACACTCAAGCCGGCCGACGGCTGCAGGCTCCCGTCAACCGCGCGGATTCCGGCGGGAGCGCGCCCGGCGGAATCCCGGCTGGAGCCTGGGGGATGCGGGAGGGCCCAGACCCCTCCCCGCCCTGGGGCCAGCGGGATTGGGTCGGCGGGGGGCCAGCCCGGAAGCCAGCTTCCTTTAGGCTCCCCCTCTCCGTGAAGCCAATCCGCCTTGCAGTCAGCTAGGCAGCTTGAGCGTTTGTTCTGTGCTTCCCTGCTGAGATGTGAGTGATTTTCTCTTGGGAAGAAATCCGTGGTCCAGCGCCTGCCCAGCTCAAATGCCACCCAACCTAGAGCAAGGCCTGAGGCCCAGGGATCCCCTGAGGTCCAGGGATCCCGGAGGAAGAGTAAGTTACTACCCAGCGTTCTACTGAAGCGATCTGGCTGTGTGCAGGGTCTCTCTAGCTGGGAAAGTGTGTTGGGGGAGGAAGGATTGCTTTTTCACAGGGGCTTAGCTAAAATCAAAGAGGAAAAGTCTCGCCTTGGAGGAATAGGTATTCTGACACCAGGGTGGAGAAAACAGGGTCGCTCTCTGGTGGCAACAGAGGACTAAGGGCAGAAAGTGCTTCAAGCTAATGGGAAGAAAGGCTTACCCAGCAGAGGCTGGAAGAGTCACTAGCACCTAGGAAAGTAGGCACAGGGGCTTGCACTTGCAAAGAGAGTATCTGCCAGAGTCCCTCTAAGTCTTGGATCCAGCTGCCTTAGAGCCCTGGTTTCCACCTTGCTGCTGTGTTTTCCAGGCCACGTCATATCTTCTGAGGACAGCCAGGAGGACTCTGGCTTTTGCTGAGCTGTGCATCTTACCTCCTTCCTTCCAAAGACACCAGGACCAGGCTTCATTCTTCTCAAGTCCTGAATGCCCCTTGCCAAGCATCCAGCTGTCTCTGCAACCCTATCCAGTCCTAGAGCACACCTCCAGGACCTGGAGCCTGCCCTCCTGCTCAGAATGACTCACCATTATTTCCAACTCAAGTGAGAAGATGTGACAGGGAGTTGAGCTGCCTGTTTGTGTATCTAGGATTCCTGTGGCATCTGACCTGCTCTTCAAGAAAGAAAACCTCAGGCCCCTGCCTGGCCAGGTAAACAAATCAACCAATAACAGCCACATAGAGTCATTGGGGGGGTGGTATCAGGGATAAAGACCCAGGCCCCAAACACCCCACCATGAGTACCTCCTATAGTGCAGGTGTTGGCAAGACATTAACACAGTGCCTGGCAGAGGGCTCCCTCCTCACCTCCTCCTATGGAGCTGTGTATCCCAGGATGCTGTGTGGTACACAGGAGCCTGTCGAGGTCACCTGCCCCCAGTGCAGGCCATTCAGTAATTGAAAGATTGTTCCTGAACCCTACTGATCCCTAGACAAGTTACAAAGTAAAAGTAGCTTCAGTGGCAGGGGTGATGGTGTGGTCATGTTTCTGAACTCTTTTGGCTGAGATGGGGGACATCAAGTACAGTTCATGTCAGGTTGCCAATGACTGGTGGACTCATGGCCTTACCTGCCTCTGTCTTTCAGCCAAGCGAGGCTGTGACTCCAGCTCTCAAGGGGCTCTGAGGCTCTCCTGAAGGGGCAGACTAATGCTTCTGCATTTCCTGGGTCCCAGTTACCAGCATCCTGAGCCCCCTGCTGCAAGCAGCTGGAAGGCATAGAGTACAGCACCCTCCTCAGCCTCAATTATGACAGTGGCTACCGGAGACCCAGTGGATGAGGCTGCTGCCCTCCCTGGACACCCACAGGACTCCTATGACCCAGAGGCAGACCATGAGTGCTGTGAAAGGGTGGTGATAAACATCTCAGGTCTGCGGTTTGAGACTCAGCTAAAGACCTTAGCCCAGTTCCCAGAGACCCTCTTAGGGGACCCCAAGAAGCGGATGAGGTACTTCGATCCCCTCCGAAATGAGTACTTTTTTGATCGCAACCGCCCTAGCTTTGATGCCATTTTGTACTACTACCAGTCTGGGGGCAGGTTGAGGCGACCTGTGAACGTACCCTTAGACATATTCTCTGAAGAAATCCGGTTTTATGAGCTAGGAGAAGAAGCAATGGAGATGTTTCGGGAGGATGAAGGCTACATCAAGGAAGAAGAGCGTCCTCTGCCTGAAAATGAGTTTCAGAGACAGGTGTGGCTTCTCTTTGAATACCCTGAGAGCTCAGGGCCTGCCAGGATTATAGCCATTGTATCTGTCATGGTCATTCTGATCTCGATCGTCAGCTTCTGTCTGGAAACCTTGCCCATCTTCCGGGATGAGAATGAGGACATGCATGGTGGTGGGGTGACCTTCCACACCTACTCCAACAGCACCATTGGGTACCAGCAGTCTACATCCTTCACTGACCCTTTCTTCATTGTAGAGACTCTCTGCATCATCTGGTTCTCCTTTGAGTTTCTGGTGAGATTCTTTGCCTGTCCCAGCAAAGCTGGCTTCTTCACCAACATCATGAACATCATTGACATTGTGGCTATCATCCCTTACTTTATCACCCTGGGGACAGAGTTAGCTGAGAAGCCAGAGGATGCCCAGCAAGGCCAGCAGGCCATGTCACTGGCCATTCTCCGTGTCATCCGGTTGGTAAGAGTCTTTAGGATTTTCAAGTTGTCCAGACACTCCAAAGGTCTGCAGATTCTAGGTCAAACCCTCAAAGCCAGCATGAGGGAATTGGGCCTCTTGATATTCTTCCTCTTCATTGGGGTCATACTCTTCTCTAGTGCTGTCTATTTTGCAGAAGCTGATGAGCGAGATTCCCAGTTCCCCAGCATCCCGGATGCTTTCTGGTGGGCAGTCGTCTCCATGACAACTGTAGGCTATGGAGACATGGTTCCAACTACCATTGGGGGAAAGATAGTGGGATCCCTATGTGCAATTGCAGGTGTGTTAACCATTGCCTTACCAGTCCCTGTCATAGTGTCTAATTTCAACTACTTCTACCATCGGGAGACAGAGGGAGAGGAGCAGGCCCAGTACTTGCAAGTGACAAGCTGTCCAAAGATCCCATCCTCCCCTGACCTAAAGAAAAGTAGAAGTGCCTCTACCATAAGTAAGTCTGATTACATGGAGATACAGGAAGGAGTAAACAACAGTAATGAGGACTTTAGAGAGGAAAACTTAAAAACAGCCAACTGTACCTTGGCTAACACAAACTATGTGAATATTACCAAAATGTTAACTGATGTCTGATGAAACCTATTAATGTACTCACAGCTCAACAGGACTAATGCAGATGTTGCATAATAGCCTGCATTGTAGTCAGTGTTCTACAGTGTGCATCTGGTTCTGCATGGAAAGCAATAGTCGTGCAAGTGACTTTTGACTTTTTGAATTTTGATTTAGAACACAGAATATTTATCATGGCTTTCATGAAATCTTCATCACTGACTTACAGGTTTCCAAAGATGGGAGTCACCTATGGAGCCAGTATCTCAGACTGGCACATACCTCATAGCCCACACACCATCCATCATAATCATCCTAACTTCCTAACTAAATGCAAACACATGTGGCAGGTGCATTCTCCCTACCACATCCTACTATCCCACTTCAGCCCACCTACCCACTCAAAGAGGAACACCATCATGGCTTAGTTTGAAAGTTCTGGTAACTACTCCAAAGGTCATTCCCATTTTTGCATTGAAAAGAACACACAGCCCTGTGTGTTGGAATTACTTTCTGTGTCACAGGCTGAGGTTTGTGAATTGCAGTTGCCAACTAGATGCTCCGGAGGCTTCTGTTTCATAACAGAAATGCTGCATTCTGCTTTTGCTCTGCAGTGTCGATGTGAGGGAAGTCCGAGGGGTGGGGGAGGGACAGTTACTTCGTTCGACCAATATGAGTTGTCAAGTTTTACATTTGTCTCCTTAGGTCTATGGGGAGAAGCTACCTAATTTGGGGACTTCTTAGCTTCAGATACCATTTTGCAAGCTTCAGGGTCACAAAACATGTTTGATTTCTTCTTTTACTCTGGAGTTTGCAGACATCTGCTTTCCTGATGGTGTGGCCCAGCTCCACTACACTGCAGTATACCAGTCATGCAATAGAGCTGCATGAGTGTTCACTGCATGAATCTCAATATTTAAAACACAGAAAATAACCTATTTTCCTAGTATCCTATTCAGTGTTCATACATAGAGTATTAATAGTCTTGGGATGGTATTGAACTGGGTTTTTTTTTTCCCATCAGAAGGCAAAAGCAAATAGACTATTTGGAATGGTGAACCAAAACTTCTGGCTGGCCCTCCAGTCCACCCATCTTTGTTCTTTCAATGGGAGCAAAGACCCTGCCACACCAGGAGAATGAACAAAAAAATCAGAGTCTAAACACTCAGATGACTGAAACTTAGGAATTAGTCTAGTCACGGGAATGACTACAAAGCTTACCAGGGCACTGATCCTGAGGACAGGCAGATCTGTGGGTTCAATGTATATAAATATATATCAGCTATCTATCTTTCTCGCTCATGTGTTCCTCTAGTAAGCTATAGAAAACTTGCATTTGAACATTGTATAAGCTTATGCAATATTTTGACACAGGGCAATTTATGCATGTGTTTGACTATGTGCACTAGAATATATATATATATATATACATACACAAATGTGTGTATATGTACATTATACACACACACATATATATATATTCATTCTCTGGAGTTCAGATTCAGGAGCAAATCCATTGCTTGGTGGGTTGGTTGTATAAGAAGCCCAATGGGTATGGTAAAACCCACTGGACCTGGGTTTGCTGTCATTGCCTCAGACACACTCCAGTGTTCATGGATTCCTAGACATTAGAATTGTCTTTCTGCCCTCCATGTGCTGCAGCTTCAGTTCCCCATGGCTGAAGCTTGTCTTACTGAGTGCACAAGGGTCCTATAGCCCTCACAGCTCCAGCTATCCTGGGCCAGGCCCACCCCAGGCCTCCTCTCTACCATCCGTCCCATTAATCATCTCCACTATTATCTTCTCCTCTGTTTGATTCTCTATCATTTGGGTCTGCATTCATCATTTTCATGAACCTGTCCCTACTTTGAAACCAAGGAGTAAAACTCCCTGGGACCAGATTATGCTGATCTAGAGAAAGCCTCCTATTGGTAGAAATTTCCAAATTCCAGAACCCTAGGATGGATTCCCTACATAACCCAAAGCATCATTTTGATTACTGAACTCAGACTCTCTTCCTAGCACACTGGTAATAAGAGCTGACCTTAAAAAAAGAGCCAAGGGATGTATAAAGAATTACCTTCACCCCAAGAACAGTTAAAGAATGAATGAGAGCTGTACAGCCTCAAAGTAGAGAATGTGTTGGCAGTAGAAAAAGTTGTGGGAGACAGCTTTTGCCTCTTCATGCTGGGCTCCTTTGCCTTTTGACACAGTGGCTTCAATTCCCCAAACATGATGAATCATAGTTAGGCTGTTCAGCATTGATTCCAACCCAGGCATCACTGCTCACTAGTTGGTACCTACAGTTGTCTTAGGGGAGGTGGGGGCACCAGCTCAGGGTGCTAGTCCAGGGTGCTCATTGGTTCCTGGTCACCCACATCTCCAGGTGACTGAACGACATCCCATGCCAGGCACAAAACCTCTGTGCTTCTCTTCTCCTTTGTGAGAGGTGGTGCTGAACTTTATGACATGAGGTGGGAGGGACATAGCTTGGATGTAGGTTAAAGCAACCTATACAGAAGTGTAGGTCAGGGGAAGATACCTATTCACAAAATCCTCGGCCTAGGATCCATCAAATGTGTACACACATGCATCATAAAATAAATAATATATCATTGTCCACACAAGTATAAAATATACAACATTTGTGCAAAATACACAGTCCAAAATAATATGAAAAGCATACAAATAAAAGGTAGGCAAAACATAAATGTGCCATCCAAACATAGAATGTGCATACCAACACAGAATACCCACAAGAGATGTATTTAACACATGTGCAAATACACAGCATACGACTCATGTGCAAAATATATAAATTCAACTGAAGAACAATGGATAAACATATAAAATACATAAATGATTCTTTGTCATTGTTCCTGCACATAAGTTCACCATATATACACAGTACACAGAGCTACACTAGATGCACAAAAAAAAAATAAAAAAAAAACAGTACCCATGCCCAAGAACACACAAAATTTAGACATTGAATCACTAATCATGCCTGTGCTTCCACATCTAAAACTTGATGGACAAAGGCAAGGGATCAAATTTAATTACTTTTCCTTGCCCATATCAATAACCCTCAGTATTCTCCAAGGAGCGTCTTCTTTGACATCCAGCCTCATTCCTAAGACAGAACTCCTGAGGTTTTAAGCAGAAAGATGGGCCACTGCATCAAGCACTGGAATCTCCTGGCCTGACCTTTCACTGCTGTTGAAACAGCAATCAGGGTGCAGGGTGTGTGAAATGAGAGCTAGCAACCTAATATCGGCTTCCTTGATATACCTTTTATTCCAGAGATAATTCACACAGATGACTCTAACTCCCAAATCTCCAGATTTGTCCCTATTCTTTTGAAGCAGTGATAGCTCAAGAAATTAGGATTCTGGAGCCTAAACCAGGCTGAAATATTCCAACATTCTTTGAGCCCAAAGAACTTATTACCCAACCTTCTAAAGTACCTCTTTGTCTGAAGCCAGTTCAGCAAATTCATTCTCCCCCTAAAATGAGACACCTTTTCTTGCTTGTGGCCATTTCACTCACTCTTGGGCACAAGTCCAATGAAGTCAACTCTTGATCCCCAACTTTGACTGTGCAATCTAGTCATGCTTCCTTCTCTCCTGCTTCCCCACCAGGGCTCCTAGGGAGGCCTGGCATCCCATTCAATTGTTGTGCCTTGATAAAATTGCAGACCAATTTAGCTGAAGTAAAATGTGATGAAGGACATTAACCTGTGGCTAAAGGAGCGTTAACAATTTTTAGAGAGCCTGATTTTTATCCTCTATTCTAACACTAGATTTAAATACTTTGTAAGATTTCCCAGCATCCTAGAGCCTCGGGACTGCTTCTTCCTGCTAGTAAGATCAGGTGGGGACTGAGTGCATTTTGGCAAAAGCTTTATTCAAAATGGAAATTAGAAGTTGCATCCAGCCTTGGATTAAGATTTTTGGGCTCTACTCCTATGGTCCTGGGGGCTCTATCCCTCCCTTCAGGGTTCTGTAGAGGAGGCAACAAGAGCAGAGAATGGGCATGTGGTCCAAAACTTGTACACCTAATACACTGGGACTTGTGTTTCCAAAACAAGGTATCAGTTTCCACCCTAGCTTCATGAGATGTCTCTGTGGCCTTGAACTTTTTTAAAAGTTGAGATTTCTGAGAGGTTGAAAAGGAAGGCAATGAAGTTGCCGGGGAAAGAAAGTAACAGAGCTGTAGACTTTCTAAGTAAATGTATCAAGAACCAAATATTCATTGGTTAATTAAATTTAATTCAGGAACCCAAATTTAATCTAGTTAAGGCTCTGTGCCTTCCTGGAACTCCCATGGTTATGAGAGTCAAGTCTTGGTGAGAAAAGGCTGCAGTTCTGAGGGTCCTCAGCCTGGGAATTCAGTGCCAGCCGCAGTTGTGGAGAGGAGGTAGAAATTGATCTTCCCCAGAGAAAACTATAGGACGTATGAACAGCATGTGAAGCCATAAGGAGACCACAGTGCTCTGACTTGCTAACCAAGGAGGGAGAAGGACCCCAGAGCTTTCCAGTAAGCCTCTCTTCCCCTGTCATAAGACTCTTCATGTCTGGGATGGGATGGCTCCCTGGCCTGAAAGGGATCTGATGCCTAGGCTATTACTCCTGGTTATACAATAGAGGTTCCTTTTGCCTTGATAAATTTTCTGTTGTCCAGGTTCAAACTAATGACCTTAACATCCTCACTTACCACCCAAGTCAACCAGCAGGAGATATATGCTGGGAGCTGTCACAGTAGTTATTGTGACTATAATCTGTACCCTCAGACTAGGCCCTTTTTGAGAACAGCACCCCAACCCCCATGGAGCAGAAAGCAGGGACAGGAGGGGTAAGGGAATCCCCAACCTAGTCCCTTTGCCCCTCTTTCTGCTCCCCTTCCCCCTAGAACTCAGCTCCATCCTTCATAGTTTGTGTCTAATGTTTTTTTAAAGAGGAAATGTGCAATAAAAGCAATAGTGACTGTTTTCTTTAGCAATAGCTCTTTCAAAACTTTTGCTCTCAGGACTGAAAAGTGATAGATAGTACATAGCTCATCAGATAATGTCCTTGACCTCTGGACATTTGTTCATACACCTCTGTAGTTCTTCTTCCCACATGATCACAGGAATGATTCCTGTCTGTTGAGCTCTGACCCCCTTCTGAAATGAACATATACACAGGTTCAGTGTTCACCCAAGGAAGGCCCATGAGAAGGCATTCTTTCTGTCTTTTTGTGTGCACCTCTCTCTGTATGTGTCTCTGTACCTCTGT